CCTTATTTTTTGCGCGATATTTTATTTGGCCTCATTTTTTTTTATTGTGTTTGGTAATATTTGAAAATTTCCCGTCCTCTAATTGCTTAAACCATTTCCAACCAGCTTCCAGAATGTATTTACATCGTTCTCTAATTGAAGCTGTCGTTTTAAAATATTTTCTGTTACATTCGTAAATGTTGACCTACAAAAGCGCGGTTCCAAATTGGTTGGGAAATTTCATTTTCCTTAATTAGTTTAAACATTATTATCAAATGTTATAAAAGAGGAAAAGCGAGTTTGAACAGTGTTTGTAGACCATTAACGAGTTTGTGAGTCCTACCAAAACACTCAAACGGGAAATCAAAATTTTACTTTGCAAACTTCACCACGATTCTGTTGTTAATTATAAAAACTAAGTACGTAAACGTTTTAACCGTACGAGTACCGCATAACCCTTAAAAATATGAAAGTATTAAATAAAATTAGTGTAATGTACATGAATTTTAATATGTAAAATTTATCTATCGAATATATATATATATATATATATATATATATATATATATATATTGATATATATGATTAAATAGTACTATCTAGGTGTAGAGAAATTGTACGCAACTGATGTGTTTTTAGATGTTTTTCAGGCTTTTGACAAGTATGGTATGAAGTACTAATAAAAATACTTTTGCCCCTAAGTCAAATATGATATGATTTTAGTTTGGGTTAAACTTTATTTTACAAAGATTGCTCAAGGTTTCAATTGTTGGCATGTGGTTTTGCAACATAAGGGTAGCATGTGTAGAAGAGGGGTTTCTTTTGTGCAATTTAATAGATATTTTTGATCACGTATTGTAATATTTCATCTCTTATGTTAATTTAATGCTTAGATCAATTTCTGAGTATCTTTTTGACTATTAGTAGTTAACATTTTTTAGATTTTCTATTTCAGATCATAGCTGTTACGATCCTATTTATTTATTACTCTATGAATGGGATTTCATCTATGAGATATCAATTACGGCAATATTTAAATACAATAAATATTATTTTATTTAAATTTTTAAAATTGAAAAAGTTGTTGATACCATTAGGGTATTAGTATAATATTAAAATTTATCCTCTTAACATATTTCAGAGAATCTTATTGAACTTTAGGCGATGTTAGGTTGTTTTCTTGTCGAATCCTTACTAGCAGCTTGCAAGGCTGATAATGTGCATGATAGGCACGTCACCATGGCGACTAAACCGCCTTCGTTTTGACCGATTGGCAGAACGCCTTCTTCTGCCAAGCGAAAATTGGCGAAACAATGTAACCACTTGTGAAATACATTGCAAAAAAACTTACGATTTCTAATTATTGTTTACAATTGTCATTTTTTATATAGAAGATAGGGTGTTGGAGTCGATAAAATCTCCTTTAAATTGCAGGAAAATTAATTTAAATAATTTATATGTTGTAGAAACAAACTAGATTTTTTTATGGTTAAAGACCCGTTTTTTTAAACGTTTTTTTTATTGAGACATTTTTTCTTTCTTACTTCTTACATTATCATACATTGTTATACAATGTCACCTAAAGAAAAAATCATTGAGTAAAAATAACGGAAATCTGTTTGTAATAATTGTAAAGTTAAAATAAATAAAAATTGAATATATTATAAATAATTAGTACCAATCATAACATAAACAATTCGGTACGGATAATCTTTTGTTCAAAAAATAATCTTTTACCTTAACTTTGTACCGTCAGCACCCTGCTTGTAGAAAGCATAAAGTTAACTTATTTAATTGAAGAATTTTGCTTTATTTTAATAAAGAAGAAATAGCGTATAAAGGCAAAGCCACTAGGAATTATATTTTTGAGGTAGTTTTAAAACTTCATTATTAACTGTTTGATTATTTAATTTATTTTAAAAGAAGATATTTTTGGTACCTATTAAAAGAATGTAGTTAAATTTATAAGTGAGATAGTTTTTATTTGCATACGCATTATTTTATTTTATTTTTCATCAAAATTATATATTCATTAAAAAGAATTAAAATTATATAAATAAAATTAAGAATATGCACACTTACCGTCATTCGTTTTTCTCGTAAAATTTTAGATTTATCATAATATAATTTTTTATTCTCAGACTAATTCGTTTTTGGATATATATTTTTACGTTTACTATATTTTTATAATATCATATATCTTTTTATGCTATTTCAAACATATAGTTTTTTTTTTGTTTTTTTTTCGTTTTTTTTATTGTTTTTTTTTTAATTTTTTTATTGGCCTTATGATCTTGCATATTAGCCATAGTACGAATTCTTGTGTGTTCAAATTGGGGGTTATCGGGAAAAAAGGGCCAGAGGCGACGGTGGGAATCGAACCCACGACCGCGGCGTGAGAGTCTCTCATGCTAACCACTCGGCTACCGCGGTCCCCCAAACATATAGTTTAAAAATAGTTTGCCATTGTGACTAAAAATGCGGTTTTACTATTTAAAATCGTTTATGCAGCCAATTGGCTGAATCAAAGTTAAAAAAAAAAGTCAGACATAAATCTTCCATCACTTATTCGTAAACTTTTGTGACTCAGAGATATTAAGGCGTCATGGGTGAAATCCACAGAGAATAGGTCGACACGAGCTGAAATCTGAACTGGTGAATCGGAAAGGTCCGATATCCTTTTGCACGACAACACTGGACAGCGAGTGTTATGAATGACTTGGAAATAATACGTCGATAGTCGAAATCCAACCTCCGTTCTCTAAACTAACACCAACAAAAATGTTCAACAGTTTAACCCTTTTTGGGCAAATTGTACTAGAGAAAAAATATTTAAAACGACCTTATATATCATTTCTGACAGAACTTTATTAAATAAGAAAAAAGATTAGTTTCGAATTTACAACCGTGTTTGTAAAAAAAGGTAAAATTTCGGTTCAAAAATTTATTGATTCAGCGAAGATCACCAAATTGCTGCAATCTGTAAATTAAGGTAGCCATACAATGGGAGGACATTATCACGTGCCATCCATCATAAATCGTTTGCATCATAATACAACGTTTTATACACAATTGTTACCCCGAATTACAACATGTAATTATAAACCGTCAAATTTCCGTTCTGTAAAACCAATTATAACTATTTTTATTTTTTTAAAGCAACGAAATTAAAATTTGACAATAACAGTCAGAGAATCGTCTTAAATTGTTTTTTAAAACTTCGTTTATAAAAATATTATAGGTTAAAATAATTTAAAAAGTAGTAGTAAATAGCCAAAAAGTTTCATTATTAATTACATTTTAATCGAATTAAACAGTAATATTTTTATAGAGGATTTACATTTGACATTGTTATTAGTTATTGTTTTTACTTCTCAAATTATTTTCTCATTACAGCCACATCTTAATTTAAAAGTTCAATTGGAAACCTGTAAGACCTTATTTCAACGAGTTTATTTTATTAAAATGTGAACGCTTTCAATTGAGAACAATCCTCCTGATTTGCCAGAGCTTTACTGTAAAATAATATGCACTATTGTTGGTTTTAATTACTGTCCTTAACTCGAAAAACAGAATGCTAAGACATTCTAAGATAAGCTTTAATGCATAAAAGATTTAAATTCAATAATGTAACAGGAAATTAATATTTAAAATTGTAGATAATGTTTTCTACTTCAAGCTAGGCCTTTTTCCTAGTGTCCCTACTCACTTTCGCTATAACTCCTACTTCTCCTATGTTTCTTTTTTTAGCAGTATATCTTCCCACATTTTTTACACATAGTCTAACGATTTTAATTTTTTTTTCTTGAATAATTGAAAAATATTTCCATTAATTTTTGAACATCTTACTAGAATAGAAGAGAAAAGTGTTCATTATTATTACATTCCAAAAGATCTTTAAAAAAAAAGTTAAATGCTAAGTGCACAACAACATAACACACTTATAGCATGGACTGTAGCCCGTTTGCTGAGTTGCCTTAATATCTAATAAATTTTCTTATGTTACCAATTTAATGATTTAATTTAGTAGTATATTTACATATAACATTATTGAAAACATTGAATTAAACCTTCAACAAGGTATACCAAACAAATACTGACAATAATGGTCATAATAAATTTCAACTGGGGCGTCGGTGGCAGCATCGGTTTAGGCGTTGACACGGTGCTTATCACTGTAAGGTAAAGGTCCCGGGTTCGAATCCAGCGGCTCTCCATTCGAACCCGACTCCACTTATAAACGGGCTTTTTTCAAAAACACCGGCACCCTGAAAGTTGAAAAAAAATCTCAACTGATATTATAACACAGCATCTAATTTCGTGCTTTAACAATTTTGCAATCTGGTATTGAAACATTATTTGCATGTCATTTCTATGAACATAAATTTAAGTTTTTAACCGGAATATTAAATAACAATTTTAGTAATAATTTTAATTTAAGACACTTTCTAATTAAAACCTGTTGGCTGATCGTTTCCTTAGGTTTATTTCTCTGATAAAAGTCATGCCATTTCTCTTTTATCCATTATCGAAGTCATGGTTCCACACAATACTAACTTTTGAGATTTGAATTATTTTCAGTTGTATGTTTTTGTATGTGTAATTAATATCCTTATAAACTAACCGTTCAGACGGTATAAATATGTACATTTGATTTTAAAAAGTGTTTCCCTTTTACTATCTAAAACAGTAACATATATTGTGTAATTTAATGATTACATGCTCTACTTATGTATGGTTTGAAGAGCATTGATTGATGACTTGAAACCTGAAAAGGAAATTCCTGAAGGATCGGCGAGGGTGGTTTGTAATTTAGAAAACTTGTCAAAATCGTTCGCTCCAGCTGAAAGAATGTAATTCAAGAAGCGTCACCATTATTGCAGAGGATTTCGAAGCGGGTACAATTAAATTTAAATTCGACCAAGTGTATGAGAAAAGCAATAAAATATCAGTTTAGACGGGGGTGGGATGGGGGGCGCATGCGTTGCTTCTCATAGTGGGGGTGTATCTCCACAGCATCCAGGAGTAGGAGAGAAGTCTCGAGAGTAACTCTTGTCTCCCGTTCCCTTCGGCACTGTTTGCTTGTCTGTGTTGAGGTGCGTGTCTGTGGTTGTGCGGTTCGTGAAAGGCCCCGGCCTCCAGAGCGTCATCTAGTCCAACGACGGCTTATAATTAGGTAAGTGGTTCGTTCTCGTTTCGCGTCGGAGAGGCCCACCCTCGGCCCGAAGGCGTCAATGCAGCGCCGTCCACGCACAGACGGCCGTCCATGTGCCTGACAACAAGTTACCAGATGGTGACCCGTGCCACGATCTCACGTCGATCTCTACTATTTGCCGTTTTAAGGGAGTTTCCACACGGTTACAGGGAAACCTGACGGGAAGGATCTCAGAGAGGCTCTCCCTGGAACGGGAGATCCCATTCTCCGCTCCTTCCTTCACCCCTCACACACTCCACTCGGCATATATTATTCATTTGGATTACCTTTGCGGTTTTCATCTAATGTATAAATTAAAGAAACCCACTTTCTTTCTTTCTTCGTTGGAATTTCAATTTCACCAAGGCCTGTATTAAAGTATACTTTCATCCATACCTAAATAACGACTGGATTGCTTTGCTTTGTATTACACCATCGAACTAATGAATTTTAAGTAATCGTACCAAAACCCTTACAATTAACAAAAAGCATCTACAACCAATGTATTATTAAGAATTGTAATTTCAACAATGCTTCTAAAATTATTTACAATTCTAAAACTAACACGTACCTTTTTATTTTATGAATTAATATTTTATTTTTTACATTGATTTTCACATCTAAAAATTACTTACAATAGTATAAAAACGGTAAGAACCAAACAATTAAATTGATAAACGGAAGGGGAGAACTCGCCAGTAGTGAGCCGCCTAAGAGGATTTTTTTTTAAATTATTCATTGAACCATTAATTTCTTTATTAACTTTTTGAACAAAACAAAAAATCAAGTTGTAGCAGAAATCTATTGATAAAAACTACCTTAGAATTATATTTAATGTAAAATAAAAAAGAAATAACATTAACATCTTTAACATCAAATAAATTTCAACCTATTTTTGTTTTTCTGAAGAGCGTATTTCAATGTCAATTATTTTCCAGTATTTCAGATATTTATTTATAAGTATTTTCAGTTATGTAAGTGGATAGGTTTAGTTATAACCAACGATCAGTAAAATAATTATGTCCTTTTAATTTTGTTGGCTGCTATAAATAAAAACATGTTGGCATGTAAAGGCAAAACCTATAACACCAGATGTCCTGTAAATTGTACACTATACAAAAATTACGGTAAAGAAATATTAAATTAAAAAATTAACATCTAATCTTTTGAGAATTTTTATTTTATCTCTTTCAGATGTTTAAACCAAAACAAAAACAATTTTTGTTTTACTTTATTTTTTTATTTTTATGTAATGTACGTTTTTTGAAGTATCATTGAAAATGTCATAAAGCAGGTTAGATTTACTGGCGTTTAAGATCCAACACATATACCTTCCCATTTGGATTTTATTATTTATTGAACAGAGTTCTATTTTAAAAGTTCTATTTTTTATTTATCTTTCACATAAAAACAGTCATACATGTGAATTAGAAGCAAAAATGTTTAATGAATCTTTTTAATTATTCATTCCACGGTTACATTCCATATTATTTGAGAAATACTTACCATTTAATTTTCTAATTTTTTTTAATATTGTTCGGGATTGCATTACTGTGTTACGTATGAATCATTGAAAGCTGTTAAAGTTAGGGAAAAAATTGTCAAAATTTTTAAACATAAAAGTTAACTAATTTCCTTTTTCAATTTTTCAAAACATGGTGCTGACCCAAATAACAAATTAGACTAGACTTGTTCCTTTCTTTTAAAAACCTGTTTTTGATTATTTTTATCCTAATGAACCCAATTTGAATATATATTTTTTTTATTATGGTGGAAACCAGTAACTGGAGGAGTTCCCCTGAGGACTGTAGCTTTATACAGCTCCCTGGCTCCATTTTTGGGAGCTCGCAACACGTGTGTGAACTGAGTCCCCGGTGTGCCAGTGTAGTTCCATCGAAGTAACTCATTTTCGAAACGGGGTCGGGATCAAATTCATGGCCGCAGAGCCCCATCCCGCCCCGGTCCTTCCATTGATGAGTACCGTGACAATTTCCATCGTGGCCACCGGCCCCCTTCGATGACAGAAAGTCCGGAGGTGACGGTGGGAATCGAACCCACGACGCGGGATCTACTAGCAGGGAATCTGACGCCTTAACCATTCGGCTACCGGTGTCCGTAATCTTAATAAACGCTTGACATTTGTTAAAATTTATTGTAAAAAAAAATAGATTCGTTCAACAAATAATTAGTCAATATAAATAAACGTTTAACGTGTTTTAAGATTATCTATATCTTTTGTTTGTAATTTAATTAAGATCTTTTCAATTTATTTGCACAATAAATACGAAATTTACCAAAATAAAATTCCTTCAATCACATAAGTTGAAATTACTTCAAGTGGTTAATATGCGACTACTGTTTTAAATTAAATATTTAAAGTATATCAATGTATAGGTTAATGTAGCAAAAACGTAGTTATTATTAGATTAAACTGTAATTTCAAAATGACTTTATATTGACTTTATCACATAGAATAATAATTGACGTAAGGCTGTAATAAGATTAAACCAAAGCAACGAGCAATATGCAAAATAAATATACATTAAATCAAAGCTGTAGACTTAGTCTTCCTTTTCCCTCCTAAAATGCCAATAGGTCGTCGGAAATGAAAAACGCCATTTATGAATATTTGGCGCGATTCAATTGAAAAGAGAATATAAATAGTATGATAAAAGGGAGCGAAGTGCCGTTTCTTTTTGAATGAAGTGGCCGAACGAAAGAGTATGAAAATGTGACTTGTGCACGGCCGAGGGGAGGGCGCGCAAGTTCCCCCTGGCCGTCTCTCAGGGGCATTGGCCCCGAATCTCTTCCTCGGCATCGTCCAACACTTTCCACCTAAACATCTTATCATATTTACAGCTAAAAGGATAGTTTGAGAATTTTTTATTTTGATATTTTTGAATTTTCTCATTATTTTGTTTATTTCGTCAATACTCACCAACTGACTCCTCAATTTCAATAGGTTCGACGTTATATTTATGGATGAATTGTTAAACACGATCATTTTATAAACAAAACAGGCATTGATTCGGTTTTAAAAACACCATCCAAGTTTTTCGGGTCTTTCAGATTCAAAATCAAATGATAAAAGATTATTGTTTACATAATAATTATTAAGTTTATATTGGAATTACAGAAAATTATATTTTCATGAACGGTTACGTTCGTATATATTCTTGTCATTCAATCCCAAAAAATCTGATGTTTCTTTTATTATCGTTAAATTTGATTGATAACGCATGACACTAAAACATTAATTAGAATATGAAAATATAATAAATATATAAAAAACTATGTATGCACGTATTATACATACTGAAATTAACATTTTTTCATCACGAATCATTGATTGATCAAAGGGGTTTGTTTACAGCGTAATGGTAATTAAATGATCAAAAGAATACCATTCATTGAAAGAACATACAATTGTATAAAAAGTTGTTTTTCATGTCACTGTATAATACTACTTTGCAGAGAAAAATAAGTGAACGAAATAAATTGTGTCACAGTTGTAATGGAACTTAACTGACTGTTGTAAAAATATTCTATTGTAATATATTGTATCTTATAAGAATTTTTTAACGTACGTGTTCGAATTAATTTATTTTAAATTTCACGTGTCTTGTGTGTACTAATGTGAGGGCGCCGCTGATGCTAAACCCGCAATGATAATAAGTCGTGCGGAATGGTCGTTCCACTTTTTTGTGTATTGCTATTTTATCAGCAATTCCCAAACAGACGGGATAAATTATTTTTTATCTAAGAATATGTATTTTTCGTTAATAATTATATAAACACTCTCTAAATTATATAAACATATATAAAATTTGGAGACGACAATACTCATGCCGTTCTTGACGTTTGGGAGGTATTGCCGTTAATATAATTCTACCACTTTTCCCTTCAACATAACTTTCTTCCAAAATAATAATTAATAATTATGTGTGGTGATTAGTGACCGTTAATCGATAATAATTCAGAAATCGTGAGATGCGGTCTGGTGTGATGTAGGTTTCAGAAAAACATTTTCTTTATCGTGCCAACGTTTCGATCTTTATTGAGATCATCTTCAGGGCCTGGGATTTACAAACATTGTTTACATTTAACAAATACATTTAGGATGTGAAAAAGTGAATTTATACAATGCAAAATAAATTTTTTCATTCAATCATAATAATTAATAATTAGAACAATATTAGGATATTCACATTTTTTTAGTTTATACTGTGCTAAATTGTATTTAGTTTTGATTTAAAATTTTAATTCATGAACTGTAATAGCACGAACTGCGAATTATGTATTATATCATTATCTAAAAAAATAAAGAATTGGAAAACACTCTGTCAAGAAATAAGTATTTTAACTATTGGCTAAGTAACTATTGTTGGATATTGTCGATAATCGATACAAAAAAATTGAGTGTTCACAGCGCACATAAGTTTTCTAAATCAAGCAAGTTCTCGGGAATTTAATGTAAAAAGTTACTGAGTTTGTTTTAAAACTCCTGAGAAAATTTTTTCCCCGAGAGTACATAAAGCCCGACATTCAGCCACTCTCTTCGTTGGCGTTATATTATTTCTTTTAAACATTTCGACCCTTTTTTCACAGCTTACAAAACAGTCCAAAATCAATTTACAAAAGATATTTATTTAAAAAGTAAAAACTAAGAAAACTTGTTTAACAGTAAATCGCTTCCTGTCACTTTACTGACAAATGAGAAGGAAATCTGGGGCATTCAGCTAAAAGTGAAAACCCTTTCGTAAGTCCACTCAATGGAAGAAGAAATGTACAAATTCTGTACCCCTACTGTTGTTATATGATACAAATTCATACAACTTCAACATATCGAAGAAAATATAACAGTGATATGATGTTGCATTTGATATTTTAAAAAAGTTATTCTAGTTCAAAAGATAAAATAACCTTAATAAACAAAAACATTAATAATAATGAACTTTCATAAATATTTTAAAATAATTTTA